AAGAGCCGGGGCTCGCTGGCAGGCCCAAGACATCTCCTTCCCTCGGAGGAGAGGCTCGCTGGGGGCTCCCCGACCCCAGACGATGCCCGCACACCCGGCCGGGCCAGACCCCACCGCGTGCACTGGCCACAGGGAGGATGCTGGGAAAGCAGAGGGAGGATCGGCGGCGAGCTGGGGGGGAGCGAGACGGGGCGGGCGTTCCCAGAAGGCTCGGACGCGCCCTGGCCTTCTGCAGTCTCCCGAGCCTTGCCCGGAGACGCCGACCAGTTCTGCTCGGAAGGCGCGAGGGCTTCTGAGGAGCGCCGTCGCCTTCTGAGAAGGCCTTCTTCTGACCTGTGGATGCCATGACACTGGACAGTCTGACAGTCCTATCATTGAATGAAATATGTGCTTAAGATGTGTAAGGCATGTTTGACACATGCTTTAGACATCTGGAAGCAGCATGCCTCCTCTCCACGAACCGACTTCCACAGCTTCTGATCACTCCCCCCCACGCTCGCCGCCGAGGGGAGGGGCTGGAGTTATGTCGGGCGTGTCCCCCTACAGGGGGATTTTCGACGAAAGCTAAAACATACCCCAACAATGCCCCAAAAAGACAAACAAATATTCAAAAAATAGTCCCCAGACTATATTTGGACTATTTTTTGATTATTTTTGGTGTACTTTTTAGTCTTCGTCGAAAATCCCCCTGTAGGGGGACAGGCCCGACTTCAAGGCTGGAGGGGGGGGGGGGCAGCGAGGGGCGGAGGCCCCCGAAGGGGCCGGCGCGGCGAAGCGCAGCGAGCGCCGGAGAGCCCTCCTGCGCGCTCTCCCGGGGAGCAGCCCCCCGTGCCCGCCCGGGGCGCGGCGCGGAGGCCGCGGCCCGGAGCACGCGAGGCGTCGGCGGGAGGAGGCGCAAGCTACGGGAAGCTAGGAGGCCACTGCCGGGAGGTTTTCGTCGGAGGATTAAAGACCCTGACCTTCCAGAGAGCTATTTTTTTAGCACTGGAGGCCTAAAAACCTAAAAAAACTGAACGGAACATCCTAAAACCAAGACGTAGAATAGCTCTGGGATAGGTTTTTAAGTCGGGTGCTATTGTTTAGCCCTCCTGGAAGGTCACGGGAGGATTGAGCCCCATTGGGGCTGCTGCGCCAGAGCGGGCTCGGATGAAGCGGGATTATGAGCGGGATAAAGCCGGATTGAGCGGGATTCAGCGGGATTAAGCAGGATGAAGCCGGACTTCGGACCAGGGCAAAATCAACATTTGACTTCCCAGGAGTTGCATCCGAAGGGGAGCAGGAGCCGGGCGGAGGAGCAGGAGACGGAGAGGAAGAGAAGAGCGCTGCGAGCCCCGTGCTCCAGGCCCGCTGGACGAGCCGAGGAGGGGAAAGGACCGCAGCACCGAAGCAGGAAGCAGCAGGACCGGGAGCAGGATGAAGGGGCCCTGGGACACACAAATAAATACACACGAATAAAAGGATTCCCTATATTTTCCAGTATTTTCTGGGTTTCTGTCTTCCCCCCCACTGCCCATAGTTTCCCATATTTTCTGGGGCATCGCAGATCAATTGTGTCTGTGTGTTTTTCCCCTCCTGGCAGGAGCAGGAGCACCTGCCGCGCTCGACGGCGGCGGCGCTCAGAGAGGCGAGAGAGGGGGGGGGGAGCGGGACGGGCGCGCCCGCGCTGCCTGCAGCAGGGCGACGAGACCTCCGGCGCTCCCAGGCGCTCCCAGGCGCTCCCAAACGCTCCCAGGCGCTCCCAGGCGCTCCCAGGCGCTCCCAGGCGCCCCCAGGCGCTCCCAGGCGCTCCCAGGCGCTCCCAGGCGCTTCCAGGCGCTTCCAAGCGCCCCAGGCGCTTCCAGGCGCTCCCAGGCGCTTCCAGGCGCTTCCAGGGCTGCATTGGCGAACCACTCGGGCTGCCTGTAGAAGCATCTCAGAGAAGCCCCCGTCTCTCGCAGACGGCAACAAGAACACCTACAATCCCCACACACCTGGGCATCTTCCCTTATGTCGGGCGTGTCCCCCTACAGGGGGATTTTCGACGACAAATAAAAACTACTCCCAAAATAATCAAAAATAATCCAAAACTAGTCTGGGAACTATTTCTTGAATATTTTTGTTTGACCTTTTTGGGGCATTTTGGGGGTATTGTTTGTTTTTCGTAGAAAATCCCCCTGTAGGGGGGCACGCCCGACTGAAATCTTCCCCGCCGCCACCCCTCCAGAAGGCTGCTTCTTAGAACGCGCCGGCCTTACATCTACAGAGAAGGCCCGCACCTTCTAAGAAGCAGGGGTGCTTCTAAGAAGCCTCCCCCCCTACCCCTACCCCCCTCTGCGCGCCGCCAAGCCTACAATCCCCGAACACCTGGGCATCTTCCCCGCCGCCACCCCCTCCAGGCTCTGCTGGCGTCGAGCGCCCGTGCCCGCGCACCTGCGCGCGCTGCGCTCCGACGCTCGGCCCCGCCGCGCGGCGGCACGCGCACGGGGGCACGACCGCCCTCGACGACGGAAAACTCTCTTGCCGGCCGGGAGAACTGGCCGGGAGCATGAATGAAGGGGCCCCAGGACACACAAATAAATACACACAAACAAATACACACAAATAAAATTATTCCCCATATTTTCCCATCTTTTCTGGGTGTTTGTCTCCCCCCCCACTTCCCATATTTTCCCATATTTTCCTGGGAGTCGACGGTTAATTGTGTCTGTGTGTTTTTCCCCCTCCTGAATGAAGCAGGGAAGCACCTGAAAGCAGATTGGGCTCCCGCTCGCCTCGCGGGGAGCAGGATGGGAGAAGCACGCCCGCTCGACCCTCGGAGCAGGAGGGCGCCCGAGGGAAATGGGGACCTGGAAGCTCAAAAGTACAGACCTCTGACGAGCGACGGGTTGCTGAAACCCCTCATCGTCCGCCGGCAAGCGCCCTCCCCCAAAAAACATCCCGAGAGGTGGTGTCAGCCTGCCGAAACCCCCGACGGCGCCCGACGCTCGGGGCTGCTGGTTCGCAGGCAGGCCCCGCCACGCCTGCGCGATGATCGCCAGGTCGTCGAGCGTCCCCGCGGCGCTGCGCACGAGCTGCACGACGCAGTCGCGAAGGTCGTAGGTGCAGCCTCTGCGGCCCGGCGCAGAGCTGGCTCCGAAGGGCTCTCCGGGTCACCGCGCCGGAGGGGCGGGGCGGCCTTCTGCGATGGACGGGGCCTCTGGGGATCTGCCTGGCTCTCTGCATGATGGCGCGACCTGCCTGTATGCGTGTACCCGTGTGCGTACATGCATATATACATCATAATTAATTGTTACTAATACTAAAATAGCAATCGTAATACTTATAAGAGTAAGAACTAATAACACATATACATACGTTATTACTCGTATTATTATTATTAATAATAATAACAATAATAATGACAATAACAACAATAATAATAATAACATAATAATAAAAAATACTAACAATAATCATAAGAATAATAATAATAATAATAATAATAATAATAATAATAAAACGAATGTGAATCCGTAGTTCAGCCGCAATATGTGCAACTCCACGATTCGACTACCACCTGTACATGACACTGCTGAGCCGCATGTCGGCATGTCACCGTAACGGTATCTAGCTATCGGGCTAGTGATGCGCACGATTCGTGCGTTGTTCTGCAATTGCAATTATTAGCGTTTATGCCAGGACCTCTAAAGCACTGAACTACCAGGATTCCTAACGGACTATCCAAAAACCCTGAGCAACACTCGAGGCCCCTATATCCTAAATGTCCCCCGGGCTCGTGATCGATCGAACCATGTCTTTCTTTATCTCTCCATCTCTCGTTGATTGTAGCACAGTGTCTACTTAAGGAAAAACCTTTAGGTGCAACTGCGCGGAACTGCTCATATGATTACCCGGCGGTGTAACCCTGTATCGATAGAGCGACTGGTCCAACTAACCACTGGCCTTATGGCACAACTCACATTGTGCAGCAGACCTGCGTCGCTCTCGTACGACGGTGCCGCCATCTCGCCCCCCCATCTCCCAGGGAGGAAGCCCCTGTCTCGCTCCCCACCCACTCCTCCCCCATCCCCACACGTGAAAAGGCACCCATACTCTTGTGGACCGAGGCGCCTTCCGTCTCGCCCCCCATCCCCTCTCCGACACACCGTATTTCTGCGTGCCCACCTTATCGTAGACCTGGCTAAGTGCAGGCCCACCGACCTATCTCGATACAGCTTCCCGCGGGGCAGCCGCGGGGCCACCCGCACGGGGCCGATCGCGCGGGACGGCTGCGGGACAGCTCCGGCCCCCGCGCGGCCGGGCGCGGGGGAGAGGGGACACCAGCTCTCGTGGCAGGCCCACTGCTCGAGGAGGAGGAGGAGGAGGAGGAGGAGGAGGAGGAGGAGGAGGAGGAGGAGGAGGAGGAGGAGATGAATGATGATGATGATGATGATGAATGATGATGATGGAGGAGGAGGAGGAGGAGAGGAGGAGGAGGAGGAGGAGGAGCTCGCCATCGCGCAGCTTCGTCTCGCCCGCACGCGCGGCACGGAGGGGCGCCCGACCTGCGCTCCGAGCTGGGGTCGAGTTGCCCTCGCCCCGCGACCTCAGGCCTTTGACAGAGAGGCCGAGCTGAAGCGTGCAAGCGAACTGCTTCAAGCCAACACTTCCTCGCACGAGCGCTCTGGTCTCACGTGCGTCGGCCCGGCGCGCCCGAGGCATGGGACGGGGAGGCCGATGCAAGGCACGGCTCGATGCCCAGCTCCTCCTTCCTCCTCCTCCTCCTCCTCCTCCTCCTCCTAATCCTCCTCCTCCTTCTCCTCCCTCCTCCTCCTATTCCTCCTCCTCCTCCTCCTCCTCCTCCTCCCTACTCCTCCCTCCTCCTCCTCCGCCTCCGCCTCCCACCTCCTCCTCCTCCTCCTCCTCCTCCTCCTCCTCCTCCTCCTCCTCCTCCTCCTCCTCCTCCTCCTCCTCCTCCCCTCCTCCTCCCTCCGCCTCCTCCTCCTCCTCCCCTCCTCCTCCTCCTCCTCCTCCTCCTCCTCCTCCTCCTCTTGGGGAGGCCCTCGAGGGTTCGTGCGCCTGTTCACAGCACCACCGGGAGCTCTCACGAGCCTCGGACGAGCCTCCGCCCGGAGGATCGGCACCACGGCCCCGCTGGCAGGGCCCCCGCGGACATCCGCCTCCTCCTGACTCCTCCTTCCTCCTCCTTCCTTCCTTCCTTCCTTCCTTCTTGCCCCCCCCCCACCTGCTTCCTCCTTCCTCCTTCTTCCTTCCTTCCTTCTTCCCCTCCTTCCTCCTTCCTCCTTCTTCCTTCCTTCCTCCTTCCTCCTTCCTCCTTCCTTCCTGCTTCCTCCCTCCTTCCTCCTTCCTCCTCCCTTCCTCCCTTCCTTCCCCTCCTCCTTCCTTCCTTCTTGCTCCGTCTCCCTCCCCTCGACTCCGCGCTATCACCCTGCCCTCTCCGCCTGCGCCCCCTCCTCGGCCTCCAAAGTGCCACGGGGGGTGCGGCAGAGTGGAGCCAACTGGGCCGACGAGCCGCAGTGGCAACGGCAGCCCGAGGGCCAGGATCCCGAGGAGCCAGGCTGCAGGGGCCCCAGGACACACACACACAAATACACACAACTGAAAGGATTCCCCATATTTTCCCATATGTTCTGGGTTTTTGTCTTCCCCACCACTTCCCATAGTTTCCCATATTTTCTGGGGAGTCGTCGATTACAGTAATTGTGTCTGTGTGTCTCTTTCCCTCCTGCCAGGCGGCGGAGAAGTGCAGTGAAAGCCAGTCCACAAGAGACCTTCCACAAAAGACCCAACCCCGAGACCCCAGCACGTCCATGGGCTGCTCGCGAAGGCACGTCGCGCTTCCCGCAGCAGAACCATGGAGATCCAAGAAGCCCGGGGCACCCTGAAGGCAAGCAGGGTGTTTCGTGGCATGGACCTCCACTGTAAGAGGAGCAGGACTCGATTTTCCTCTGCGCTCGGCAGCGCTGCACCACGCGGCCCTGATGCGTTCGAAAATCGGCGACACCCAAGGGTGACCCTGGGTAAGAGTGACCTTTAGTGCGCGGACTGAGGGGGCACAAGGCGGCCAAACCAAAGGCGCAAGCAACCACTATCGCATCGCGCTCAGCGGTCGGGGGGACCCCAGTGAGCCCGCACCAAAGGTCACTCCGGCGAAGGGTCACACTTGCGTGTAGTCGAGAAAACGCTGCACTGCAGTCCGGGGCCGGGGCCGAGGCGCCTCGAGAGCGGTGTTTTCCCAACCTCCAGGTCTCACCCGGCAGGGGCCAGAAGCAGGCACAGAAGCAGGAGGAGGAGGAGGAGGGGGGGGGGGGGGGGGGGGGGGGGGGGGAGGGGGAGGGGGAGGAGGAGGGAGGGGGAGGAGGAGGAGGAGGAGGAAGGAGGAGAGGGGGAGGAGAGGAGGAGGAGGAGGAGGAGGAGGAGGAAGGAAGGAGGAGGAGGAGGCTAAGGAGGAGGAGGAGGGAGGAGGAGGAGGAAGGAGGAAGGAGGAAGGAGGAAGGAGGAGGAGGAGGAAGAGGAGGAGGAGGAGGAAGGAGGAGGAGGAAGGAGGAGGAGAGAGAGGCAAGAAGGCGGCGTCCAGCAAGGCACTGCCACAACAGTTGGCAGCTGCCCGCACTCTTTATCCGCGGCTGCGCGCTGCGCGCTGCGAGCGAGGCCGCAGATTTGAAGCAGCCCAGGGGGGGCTGTCGCTGGCCTGCCTGCGCCAGAAGCACATCCAGGGGTGTATGCAGCGCTGGATGTATGGTTCCAAAAACGAGCTCGAAACAATCGTCCTCCTGAGCATCACGGTCATCATCATATTCATCCTCATCCTCCCCGTCATGATCATCCTCTCATCGTCTTGCATGTGTCAATATCACATGCGCAATTTCCCATCATCCCTCTTCCTTGTCATCATCATCCAGGCCCCCATGTTGGTTCTCCTCGCTCCTCACTCCTACCTTTTCCCGCTCCTCCTCCTCCTCCTCCTCCTACTCCTCCTCGTTTTTCGTTCTTCCTCCTGTCCCTCCGCACTATGCTCCTCCCGCTGCATGCGCTTGCTGCCTCCCTTCCTGCTAGCTCTTCCTGCTGCCTACCTTTTTGTCGGCTCCTCCTACTGCATGATCCGCCTCCCTCATCCTCCTATCCTCCTCCTCCGTCAGTAGAAAGCTCTTTTGCTACTGCGGATGGGGCGGCCGGTTTGCAAGTTGCGTGGCCGCTCGAGGACGAGGGTGGAATCGGAATCGGAATCGGAACAGTTGCGAAGCAACATCCAAACGGGGACACTCTAAGCCAGGTCCTTGGCGAGGAGGAGGAGGGGGAGGAGAACGAGGAGGCAGAGGGAAAGGGAGGAGGGAGGTGGAAGGGGGAGGAGGGAGGTGACAGAGAGAAGGGAGAGGGGAGGAGTACCATTATCATGATGAACATCATGATCATCATGATTGTCATGATCTTCATGATTATTAAGAGCAGCATGGCCATCATCACCGTCAGCACCGACATGATCATCATCGTTATGATCATGATCATTATCATGAGCATGAACACGAACACGAACATGATCATCATCACCATCATCATCACCATCATCAACATCATCATCATCATCTTCTTCATCTTCATCATCACCATCATAATCACCATCAGCATCAGCATCATCGTCGTTATCGCCGTTGTCGTCATCATCATAATCACCACCATCTTCTGCAACATCACTGTCATTCTCGTCGTCGTCGTCGCCTCCCTTCCTGTCGGCTCCTTCTCCTCCCGCCTCCCTTCCTGCCGGCTCCTCCTGCTGCATGCTCCTCCTGCTTCCCCGCTCGCCTCCTCCTTCTGCTTCCTCCTGCTCCTTATCCTCCTGTCTCCTACTAAGCGTCCTCCTCCTCGACGTCGTCCTTGTTCTCGCCTTCACCCTCAGCCCTATCCTCATCCGCATCCCCATCCTCCTCTTCTCCCTCCTTCCCATCCTCATCATCGTCGGCATCATCGTCGTCATCATCAGCATCATCGCCATCATCAACCTCATCATCATCATCATCATCACCATCATCATCATCATCATCATCAGCATCATCATCATCAACATCATCATCATCATGCTCATCATCACCATCACCATCACCATCACCATCACCATCACCATCATCATCATCATCATCACCATCACCATCACCATCATCATCATCAGCATCAGCATCAGCATCAGCATCAGCATCACCATCATCAGTATCAGTATCAGTATCAGTATCAGTATCAGTATCAGTATCAGTATCAGTATCAGTATCAGTATCAGTCTCAGTCTCAGTCTCAGTCTCAGTCTCAGTCTCATCATCATCAGCATCATCATCATCATCATCATCATCATCTTCACCATCAACATCATCATCATCATCATCATCATCATCACCATCATCATCATCATCATCATCATCATCATCACCATCACCATCACCATCGTCATCGTCATCATCATCATCATCATCATCATGAGAGGAGTGCGGAGGCGTGTGAAAGAACGGGAGGGGTCTGGCAGAAGGCAGGCGGAGGGCTGTGGAGGAATGGGGAGTGCCTGGAGGTTTCGGCTGGAGTGTGCAGGGGCTGTGGAGGTTTTGGGAGGGTCTGCGGAGGTTTTGGGCGGAGTGCGGAGGATGTGGAAGAAGTGAAGGGACTGCGGAGATCTGGGGAACTGCGGAGGGGTGTGGAGGAATGGGAGGGGACTGGAGGTTTTGGGAGGAGTGTGGAGGCTGTGGGAGGAATGGGAGGGGCCTGGAGGTTTTTGCAGGAATGTGGAGGGGTCTTCCCGGATGTGGAGGAGTGGGAGTAGTCTGGACGTTTTCGGGGGATTAGGAGGGGTGCAGAAGTTTTCGGTGGAAGGCGGAGAGGTGTGGAGGAATGGGAGGGGTCCCAAGGAGGTTTCGAGCGGAGTGCGGATATTGCGGGAGAAATATGGGCGTCTCTTACTGCGATGTGTGTCCTCTGATTCTCGATCGGCGCAATAAAGTAACCAAGTACCCATCACCGCACATTGATCGAAGGTACAACATCTTTTCTCCTTCCTCCTCGCTTCCTCAATGCTCCCCGCGTTGTTTTCCATCTTCTCCTCGTTTCTTTCTGCAGGGAGCCTTCAGAGGCTCCAAGAGGCTCTTCAGAGGCCCCAAGAGGCTCTTCAGAGGCCCCAGGAGGCTCTCCAGAGGCCCGAAGAAGCTCTTCAGAGGCCCCAAGAAGCTCTTCAGAGGCCCCAACAGGCTCTTCAGAGGCCCCAAGAGGCTCTTCATAAACCCCAAGACTTGCCTCGCTTCACAGTTCTCGAAGATTCATATAATCCGGAGGACCCCTGGCCGTACTAAAGCCCACCGGGCCGCACAAAAGCCCATCTGGCTGCAGTAGAACCTTATCTCCCCAAGACGGCCCCCTAAAGGGCCCAGGATACTTTCTTCTCCTGCGTTTCCTCCCTGTCTTCCTTGTCCTCCTCCTCCTTCTCCTCCTCCCTCCTCTGCGCTTCAGTCTGCTGCGTGCTCCTCCTCCCCATATTCCCTTGGTGCGTTCACCTCCTCCTTCACCTCCAACCCCCTACTCCTTCTTGTGCGCCTCAACCCTCCTCCTCCTTGCCACGCTCCTCACCCCATCCTCCTCCTCCGCCTCGCTCGGAGGGCCATTGCCAGGGCGAGTGCGAATGCGGGTGCAGCATAGCATTGTGGTGCAGTGCTGATGTACGTTTCAAGTCATCTCCGCTGTAATCTCCCTCCTCCTCCTCCTCCTCTTCCTCCTCTTCTTCCTCCTCCTCCTCCTCCTCCTCCTCCTCCTCCCCCTCCCCCTCCCCCTCCTCCTCCTCCTCCTCCTCCTCCTCCTCCTCCTCCTCCTCCAACTCCAACTCCTCGGCGGACCAACTGCTGCTGCCATGGCCCGCCGACGCGGACTGCCTCGCCCCCCCCCCCGGTGCGCGGCGCGTCGCCGCCGGCGCCTTGCACGAGCTCGGACCAGCCACGGGGGGGCTGCAGGATCCACAGCACCTGGCGGCGAGATGGTGAGAAGGATGGGGATGGCGATGAGGAGAACGGAGGATGAGGAGGCGAAGGGGGACGAAGGACATACTCCGAAACATAAATGCATCAACAAAGAAAACAAGAGAGATATAGAGAGAGAGGGTAAGAGAACGAGAGAGAGAGAGAAAGATAACCAAACACAGTGAACGAGACATAACAAACATAATATAAATACATGGACATCGATAGGGAAGCAGTCTTTTTATACGTATATACATATCTGGCAATGGTGATGGTGATGATCGTGATGATGGTTACGATGAGGAGAGAGGGCTGGGGATTAAGAGAGGGATGGCAATGAGAGACAGAAACAAAAAAAAAGGGAAAGATGATTGTTTTCTTTTTCCTTGTTTTGCCGATCGGCAGGGGCCCTCGCGCCCCCCCTCCCCCCCCCCCCCGAGGGAGTAGATCTCTGCTGGTTTTGGCGCCTGTTTCGAGCAGGTGGAGCCTCCCCCATAGGACGCACTGCTGCAAACAGTCGCATCAAGCAGAGGGCCAGAGCCAGACCCCCCCACTCTCCCCCTTCCGCCCAATGTCGAACCGCCGAATAAGAGAACGTTCACACGACAGACAGAGAGATGACAAGGGAGGAGGGGCGAGGGAGGAGAGCACCAGTCAAGGTGCAGTTCTGGTTGTCATCACAGAGTGCAGCCTGGCTGTCGGTGCCTCTGTGTAGGCGCGGCGCGTCCCTCGTGGACCCGCTCCCACGGTGAGGGCGCACGCGCCAGACGCCCGATCCAGTCGAGCGAGCGATGAGCCCGGGATGGGACACACGGACGGAGAAGCGGGAGGGGAACGAAGGACGACGAGAGGAAATGAGAAGAACAAGCACCAGAGAGGAGCAGATGGGCGCACCGAGGGCATGGAAGAGACACGACGCTCTACTTCGTGGGCATTTTTGGCTTCATCGAATCGGGTGCGGCCGCTACATCACGCACGTCTTTGCCACTCGGGTGGTTGGCATCATGGCTGGGTCCGCCCTCTACGGTCTCAAAACATGTTGCCATTACGTGTTTGAGCTGCTGACCCTTCGCGCCGAAACACGTCTCGGTGCTGCTGCCCTTCGCTGACTCGTAGTGCTCTCGGCCATTTCATGTGGTGATAACGTCTCGCCAGGCTCTTGGTTCGATCAACCATGCTGTCGTCTCCATCAAGAAGGTGCGAGATGCCTCGTCCGAGTGACGTTTGGCCATCCCCATGGCCAACACTTTTGCCCCATGGTGGTCGAGGGTTCTCAGGTTGTGCCCGCACTTCCCCTGGGTGTGTGTGAGCACGCGTGGCCTTCAATCTGTTCTGGTAGGAGTGGGGGAGGCATAGGAAGTCTGGATCGCACGGTCCACATGTCGGGCATGGTGTCCCGGGCTTGCGGCGGGGCTCTCTCGCCTGAGCTGTCCGCTGCCTCGGGGAACGTCGAAGCGTTCCCTTTGATGCAACATCTGCTTCTTCCCAACCTTCCTTCTACTTCTCCCTCTGATCGCCCATCCACTCCTTACCTCGTGGGTGGCAACTCTGAGAGACGTGGCGTCACATTCATTTTCTGACAGCCTCGCGTCAAGAGGGGTGGACCGCAAAGCAACATAAAACAATAAGGAGGTACCAACAACTAATACCGACCTCAGAAAATACGCAGTCGCCTTTCTACAGACCAGGGTACGGCTCATAAGCCATGACGTTGAAAGAATTCTCGATGTACAGCCAATGCCATCTATAACGGAAGGCATGTCCTCCCCCCCCCTGTGGTTACAAACCTTTCGAATCGTAAGCTTGCCCAGGAATCTGCGTGGTCACGGTCTACTGCCCCGAAGAGGCTTTCTCTTGTGGTCAGCGCCGCGGAAACATGAGCAACAGGACTTGGAGGCGGAGGCGACTGCATACACACGTACCCCCCCAACATTGTATCAAGCCGAATCTGACATGTAGCATAACGCGCTCCAACTTTGCTTGCCGGATGCTGCACACACACCACTGTGACCCCGACTGCGCAGGCGGACGGGCAGACTGACGGACACATGCACGGGCGGACAGACCAGCAGACCGTCGAAGAGAGAATCAACCATTCGGGCAGACAGACAAGGAAAGACGGCGTCAGACAGAGATCAAGGCCGCGCCAACGGCGATGTTGCTCAACGGTGATGTTGGGAACCGAACTGTAGGAAATCACGAACCGCACTTTCCTACACTTCCGATCTGCAGATGCATCGAACGAGGACGGCACGGCGAGTCCTCGGAAAAAGCGCGCGCCGCGCGTTCCCACAAGACCGAAACGTGCACCGCCGCTGCCCGCATCGCCGTTTCAGCGCGTCTACGGAGAGATGCAGGACACGGCGGGAGAAGAGGAAGGAGGGAGGAAAGGCACGCTCCCCTCCTCCCTCCGAGAGATGCCATACAGTCGGGCTGCTGACAGAAGGAACGCTAAACAAGGAACGAAGCCCCTTCTTGGCCCTGTGAGCGCCTCCGTGCCCCGGGAGGGCAAGAGGAGCAACTCTGGAGGAACCCAAGGAACCTCGAGCCCCTTCCGAACCCAAACTGCTCCTTATTTCAGCGTCTTGACTGTATCAGGAGGGAAAGAAACACACAGGCACAATGAATCGTCGATTCCCCCGAAAATCTGGGAAACTATGGGAAGTGGGCGTGAAGACAAAAACCCAGAAAATATGGGAAAATAAGGGGGAATCTGTTTCTTTGTGTGTATTTGTTGGTGTGTCCTTGGGCCCCATTGGCTATAGAGGGCACGACGGTGAAGACGGAGGCGGCGGGGCTGCTCTCCTCTCTCCCCGCCCTCGGCGGGCCTCCCGGGCCCACGCAGAGGAGCGGAGGGCCGCGCGGCGCCAGGGAGAGAGAGCCGAGGAGCGGAGCCCGGGAGCCGGGGAGGGCCCCCCGGACTGCCTACTAGACCACCCCAACCCCAACCCGAAGACCCGAATTTCGGGTTGGGGGGGGGTAAGGGTTCCACACGTGTTTTTTCGATGTGTCCCGAACCCCCCCCCACTGGAAATCGAGGGTAAATCTGAGCCTTCGGGTTGGGTTGGGGCGGTTTGGTGGGTGGTGACCCCCTGCGGAGCCCGAGGCGGTCCCCTGGCCTCAGCGCCCCGCCTGTGCACAGGAACTCGGCTGCCCCGATGCGCAGCACGCAACACGCATCGTATCGAGACGGAGCTCCACACGTAGGCCACATGCATGTTCTAAGAACAGAAGCAGTGTTCTTAGAACACAAGCCCGATGTGATCAAACAAGACAGACTCCACCATACATGTTCTAAGAACATTTCGTGGGAACCACAAAAGGTTCTTAGAGCATTGTTTGGCAGGGCTATAGGCGAGCCAAGACACTCGCCAGAACGTGGTCCAATACGTGGAGCCAACACGCAACGTATCGAAACGGACGTCTTGCACACGGGACGTATTGCGTTTCAGAACGGGCGCATCGAGGCAACTAAGCACAGGAAGCGACACACACAGTTGGGGCGTTGGCCCAAGGAACCCTAAATAAGGAACGAGGCCCCTTTTTCCCATAAGTTAAACTCCGATTCCCTGTGGAAAACCGCAGGACAACCCAAGGAGCACTGTGAAACAACTAAGGAGCACGGAGCCCCTCCCAAACGAAAAGGGTTCCTTTTTCAGCGCCCCGACTGTATGTACTGATACAGTGAGGGATACGCGGGCGATCGGGCGAGCGGATGGACCGAAGCGAACATGCAGGCCTCAGAGACATGTATACTGATACTGATACTGGAGGCCTCCTAGATGGGGTCGGAGCAGATGGGGTCGGAGGATCGCGCCGCACCGTGCCGATGCATCGGCGATGCAACGGCGACGTCAGCGATGCATCGGCGACGTCGGCGTGGAGAAACTCGTGTCCCACATCGAGCCGCATCCTCGATGCATCGGCGATGCGGCGCGATCCGCCGCCCCCATCTACTCCGACCCCATCTAGGAGGCCTAGAGATGCGGTGAGGGATACGCATTGGCGGACGATCGGGCGAGCGGACGGACAGAAGCGAATGTGCAGGCATCAGAGACACGGCACTCGAGAGGAACAAACACAACGATTGGCTTCCCATGGGTAAACACTTACAGCGTCTGCACGGGGCAGGCAAGACACACCTAAGCTAGGACGAGCCTGGTCGTGGATACGATGCTTGTCGCTGGGCAAGAGAGCCAACCCAATGACAACCAACGCGTGAACGGCTAGAACAACGCGGTCGGAAATCTGCCATCGCGGAGGAGGGCCGGAGCTGCCTTCAGCCTGATAAGGCGGGCCCCGTAGCTCGGAAACTGGGAGTCGGGGATCGCGCCTCTGCGGCGGGACGGGGGCGGCCAAGAGCGAGTGGCTCGCGAAAGGTCTGTGAGGGCGGAGAGGGTCCAAACGGAACGAGGACGTGCTCTGAGCCCCGAGGTATGACCTGGCCGTGGCTACATTGGCGTGTGCGCCTTTGGCTTCGCGACGGCACCACTAGATAGGCGACTCACTGGGCCACGGAGGCTAACATTAAAACGTGTGTGCGAGCGTGTCCTGCTCCGCCCGCGACGCTCAAACGTGTGTGTGTGTGTGTGTGTGTGTGTGTGTGTGTGTGTGTGTGTGCGCGCGACTCTGTGCTACATTGCCGCTTAATCGGGCTGAAATTCTCTGTGTGATTTCATTACTTTCAAATTTGTGCCATGTTCACACATATATTCTTAAGAGGAAGTGTGCGTCTGTGCGCTGCGAACTCCACGTCATGTGAACGTCGCTCGCCAATGAAACTGGTAGCTACTCGCACAAACCGTATCAACATCTCCTACCATTGGCCGTGCCAACACACGAAACGCAATCTTCCAAACACAATCTAGACACGGCTTGCCCCTTGGAGCTCTTCCTCAAATGTTGTGAATTCATATGTGTCCCACCCGCTTGATCATACGTGCTTCGATTACAGACACGGGTTGGCTGGTTGCGCATGTAACCCAACGCATCTGTATCCACTCATGGGCAAACGGCTCCCCTCATGTGCACGCGTCCATCGCCATTCGGGCCGTCACTGTCACAGTCGCCACCAGCGGTGTCATTGCAAGCTGTATCACCATCGCATTCACACACATCACCGTCTGCGTCTCTGTCACATACCCAGACGTCACACACGCACCAACACCAACTAAGCACCCTAATCTATCACACCCCTTACCGTCCGCATGGAACCAGTTTTGATCGAACAGTGATTGAATGTAACCCAGTTATTGTCCGTGCCAAATGATCCAAGTAAGTCGCGCTGATATTACCATGCATGTTGGTGACCCCGAAACGTCCCCCTCGATAGACGTGTCCGGTCGCCTGATTTGCTGTTTCGAGTTGCGCGCTTGCTTGCATATTCTCGTCTACAAATCATCTTGTGATTTTCCAAACGCGCTTCTTTATGTTGGCGAGGATAAAGGCGGCACCATCGTGTACCTTACTGTGGCGACTTAGATAATGAAAACGTGCGTCAAAACACGCAATACCTAAGCACATCCACGGTAAATGCACAACGTCAGCGATCCTCGGGCAAACTGAAACAGACCTCCACATTTATCGTGGACGTTCTGCGCAATTCTGGTTCTCAAGTGTTTGCGTAAAGCAACATAGATGGGTTCGCGGCTCTCGGGCAGACAAGTTTCTCCTGTTTGTCCGTGGCATGATCGCGCGCACGCCGATCGGAAAGAACAAAAACACGACGCGATGTATCACTTGGTTTCCCGGATAGAGAGAGAGAGAGAGAGAGAGAGAGAGAGAGAAAAAAAAGGGGGAAACAAAGACCGGCACGTATACAGAAATAACCAACTCATTTCATCTGGGCGCCACCGAGTATGCACTTGCTCTGGGAGCACCAGTCCCTGCAATCGCCGACGCTGGGAGTATAACCTCGATACTCGTCTCAGAAGGATCTACAGAAAGAGAGGGAGAGAGAGAGAGAGAGAGAGAGAGCGAGAGCGAGAACGAGGGAGAACACAACAACAACAGAAGAGAGGAAAGAGAGAAAGAGAGAGAGAGAGAGAGAACAAGAGAGAGAGAGGGATAAACGTGCCCACGTAGAGATCCGCCGACGCCCGCTTGCCGTGGGTGAGAAGGCGTGTGCGATGATTGACTGCCCCCCTCCCACTTCCCCCCTCCCCCCAGGATCCAAAATCTCGTTCAAGGGGTGTGAGTGTGGGCGGGCGCACGAGCTCCCCGGCGCCTCCCTGGAGACTCCCGAGTCTCCAGATCTGAAGGGGCCCTGGGACACACAAATACATACACACAAATAAAAGGATCCCCCATATTTTCCCATATTTCTTTGGTGTTTTTGTCTTCCCCCCACTGCCCATATTTTCCCATATTTCGGGGGAATCGACGATTCATTGTGTCTGTGTGACTTTTCTCTCCTCCTGAAAACCTGCCGTCCGTGGCCTCGAAGACGCGCCAAGACGGCCCCGAATCGCCGAACGACCGGCCTAAGACGCCTACGACAGCCCAGGACGCCTTCGGGACGCCGCAGGAGCCTTCCCGGAAGAGCCCCGAGAGGCAAACAACTAGCCCGCAGGCGTTCCATCGTTTCTGGGGCCATTGTCTTCTCGAGCTTACGACACTCCAAGACGGCCCCAGAGGCCCCGGAGACCGTACCACAAGATTGCCCTTGCCCAGAAGGCCCCTACTGAAGGTCTCGGTGCGGCCCAACATTGTTCTAAGACGGCCCACAAAGATCGCCCCAGTAAGGTCCCAAGGGAGGCCAGGAGGGAGAACACGAACAGAAAATGCTGTCTTTCCGCCCCAAGAGGCCCCCCAAAGCCCATAGAAGCCCCCAAGCGGCCCAAAAGAGGCCCCCAATAAGCCCCCATACCGTCCCAAGAAGCCCAAAAGAGGCCCCCAAACGGCTGCCAATACAGGCCCCTGGACAATTCCCAAGACTCCTACCAGAGTCCCAACATAGTGCCCAAGAAGCCCACGACGCCTCAACCGTGGCCTCCCCGCCTCTTGAATAATCAACTCGTTCCATGTGAGGACCGTCGAGCGTGCAATTGCTCTGGGAGCACCAGACCCTGCAATCGCAGATGCTTGGAATATGACGCCTGGGAAACCATGAAAGCTTATAGGCAAACTGCCGGCGTTGCGGTCTTTTTGGGGCATGTTTCGTCGCCCCTGGCCCACGAACCACACACAAAAGAGCGGATCACCGCCGGTATGCAGTTTGCGGGCGCGCGGAAGGTGGCGAATCCAGCACTGGAAGGTACTCCAGGTTTCGTAATAAAGGGAGGGGGGTCTCATTTCGGGGGGGGTCTCTTCCAGGCTATCTTGGAGGGCCTGGGAGGGTCTGGGGACGACGTTTTGGAGGGTTCTCCCACGGGGGGGGGGTCTGAAATGGCTCGTCTTGGAGGGTCCAGACCCCCTCCCTTTTATTACGAAATCTGGAGTAGTTGCTGGCCACGCTTGCAACCTGGTCGTGGGCGGGTCCTGCTGGGGTGCGGGTGAAGATCTCGCAGGGCAGGTCGAGGGCGGGCCGCTGGCGGGGCGCGGAGAAGTCACGGGCAGAGCGCCGGCGGGCCGCGGGGGGGAGTCGCCGGTGCGCCGGGGGCAGGTCGAGTGCAGGCCGGCCGCAAGTCGCGGTCGGGGCGTGGTGGGTCGAGGGCATACAGGGCAGTTTTTGATACATGGGATTCTGAAAGTATAAGATTTCTCATGCATGATCAGTGTATGAATAGATTCATGCATGAACTCATCGTTGTTGTTGATACGATCCGCACGCGGAGCATGTTTTTAAAACGGCACTGCATCATCTGCAGATCGCGGGCGGGTCGCGGGAGGGTCGAGGGGCAACCGGCTGCGAGCTGTTGGGGGCGTCGGACAGCGCACGAAGCCCAGCGCACGGGGCGGCCACGGGCTGCGTGGCAAAACCTCGCTGGACCCACCCGGCACACGAGACCCAACGCACGAGGCGGCCCTGCCGGGCGGCAACGTGGCGAAGCCTCGCCGGAGCCACCCAGCGCACGAGGCGGTCACGAGGCGGCAACTGGCGGCAAAGTGGCGAAACCTCGGCAGACCCCCAGGGCGGGTCATGGGCGTGCCGCGGGCGTGTCGCTGGTGGGTCGGGGGCGGCTCACGGGCGGGTCTGAGGCAGGTCACCCGCGGGTCGAGATAAGGCCGCAAGGCACGAACGACACGATGTCGTCCCCAACCTTCTTCTATCACCGTTCACACACGTACACAATGAAAACCATTCAGCCCCCTCGAGCTGCTCGACTCAGAGATGCGCCGCGATTCCACTGCGAGCCACCACAATGAAAGGCGAACCTATCGACGCAGTCAGGGCGCACACCCACAAAAGACTTTCATATGCCGCGAGCCAGAATTTTCCGGGCAACGACAAACTGGTCTGGAAGAACGGAAGAAACCAGTCTGGTATGGCGGAAGACCTCCGCGTCTGATCGCCTGGATCCGCGCAGACGGCGCATCGAGGGGGGAGGCAGGCGTGGCCGACCCCCCAAGCGCTTCGATGCTCGTCCAACCGATCCCGTCACAACTCGCTGTTGGGCTTCTTGCTCTTGCCGAGGTTGACGCGCTGCACGGAGTTGGCGAGCACATTTCGCTTGGTCACCAGCTTACCTCCGCGCTGCTTGTTGTACACGTGCAGCACGTCGCCGTCGGCAGCGTCCACCGTGAGGTTGCCACCTGGCAGGACCTCTCCGATGTACAGCTCGGGTCTCCGATCTGGGGCGTTGTAGACGTACATGGGCTTCTTCACGTTGTTCTGAAAGATGACGCTCTGCGGCACTTCAGCGGCGGCCTTTCTGATCGTGCCCAGGTCATCCGCGAGCTCGATGGACGTGCAGCCCCTCTTCCACTGATCTCGGAAGTTGTACTGGTACAGCCACATGTTGATTCCACGCTTCTCCCCTTTGGTGACAACCTGCGATTCGTGGTTGGTGCGCTCGTCCGTGCGCATCGGGTTGTCGTCCATGGTGTTGACGAACAGAACCGCTGCACCACGCTTGGCTGGCGCCTTGATGTTCAGCCTGGGGAAAAACGTAGCGCCGCCTTCCAGACCTTCGTCTGACAAGTAGACGAAGTAGGTGAATATCCGGGAGCCGCACGGAAGATAGTGGAAGGTCGGATGGTTGTCGTGGTGCTCCTTGTTAGGAGAAGAAGGGGGAGATGAAGAGAAGGGAGGATGAGGATGAATACGCGAGGAGGGGGAGAAGGAGGACGCGAAGCGTCCACGATGAAGGAAGTGGAGGAAGAAGAAGATGAGCTCCTTGTAGAACATGCCCTCTTTGTATCGCAAAGACTGGGAGAGGTCAAAATTCTGCGGCGGCACCCCTGTGATCTTCGATGCCCGCGCCCGGAGGTTCTGGACGCTGCTGTCACTGTCGCACCGGCCAATGCAGAAAGCCGTCTCCGAGTTCCTCCCCTGATGCTTTCCCCCACCTCCGCCAGCGGCGCTCTTCATGAACTTATTCTTCTGATCCTCGTGGTCGAACATGTTCGCCTCGAGAGCCTGCACCTCCGTCTCCGAGAGCAGCGTCTCGAAATCCGCCACCGCGCTTTGCAGCTGTCAGTGCGTGTCGGGCCACATGTAGTCTTTCAGGCCCCCCCTCGGTGCATCGAACCAAATCCCCAATCTGGGAGAGGCCAAAATCAGAGATGCTCCATTCGCTTTTGAAAGACTCTAGCGTTCCCGCAGTTTCGGACTCCCGACTGCCCAAGACGGCCCAAGAGGCCCTCGAGCCTCGAGGTCGCCCGAGGACGGCCCAGGAGACTTCCAATAATACCCCAAAACGGCGCAAGAGGGCGCCATAGCGGCCCAAGAGGCCTCCAATACGGCCCCAGAGGACCGCATGAGGGCCCTGAGAGAAGCCAAGGGTAGAGAACTCGAAGCTACATTTCGGGCCCCGCCCCAAGATGACCCCCGAGACCTCCACGAGGCCCCCCAGAGGCTCCCAAGGAGCCTGCCAAGATGCCCAAAATAACCAGCCTCGAACTTATCCCTATCCCTAAGATGGGCGAGCAAAACGCGAGGACAATCTTAGGGATAGGCCCTCAGAAACTGAGGGAATCCTTAAGATCGGCATCGAGGTGAGGTGATGTCAAACATAGGGATAGGGATTTGTTTCAAACTGGTAACAAAAGCAGCCCCCGAGGGTGTCAACACCGCCTCCCGAGAGGCGTCCGAGAGGCCTCCCAGTAGACACAATCACCCCAGCATGCAGTAGCCTCTGACCCACACCCCAGGCACGGTGACGGGGAGGGCCGAAGGCCACTGGATTTTCACTACTTAATTTACTTATTTATCGATGTATTTATCTGGATGTTCACTACTTTATTTATTTATTTATTTAAGGTTCAAGATTATGTAAAACTACAACCACGCGCGCTTAGGTTCCAGCGTGCCACAGACACAGGAATCGCCGTGCGACAAAAATGTGTGGAGCTTGTCTCAGGCAAGTGAGGACTCCAGTGGCAACACCTGCTTGAGGCACCGCCGGGGACGGACCCTGTGTAGAGTGTGGAAAGTCGGACCAGCTCTCTGGTCGACCGACCATCTTGGGCGCGCCCTGGGGCTCTCTTTGGGGGGGCTGTTTCGGGGCCTCTTTTGGTGCTTTTTCGGATCTCTTGAAGTCTCCTGGGGGCCTCTTGGGCCAAAACGCCCGAATCTTCGGTTCCTCGTCAGCGTCTTGGGCGCCGACTTGGGGCGTTCTTGGGCGGTTTGGGCGCCTTGGGGCTCTATTGGGATGCCCCTTGGGGCGTGTTCGGGGCCTCTTTTTGTGTTTTTGCGGGTCTCTTGGGGACCTCTTGGGGCTCCTTGGGCGCTTCTTGGTGCCTCTTGGGGTCTCCTGGGGGCCTCTTGGGCCAAATGGCTAGCATTTTCTGAGTCTTCGTCCCCGTCTTGGGTGCCGACTTGGGGCGTTCTTGGGCGGTTTAGAATCCTCGACCGTCTTGGGTGCCTCTTGGGCCGTCTTGGACGTAGTGAAAGCCCCAAAGGCGAACACGCCAAAAACATCAGTTTTACTTTGGGAATCGACGACTTTTGCTTATTTGGGGCTCTATTGGGGTGCCTCTTGTGGCGTGTTCGGGGCCTCTTTTGGTGTCTTTTCGGGTCTCATGGGGGCCTCTTGGGGCTTCTTGGGCGCTTCTTGGAGCCTCTTGGGGTCTCCTGGGGGTCTCTCGGGCCAAATGGCGCGAATTTCGGGTTCCTCGTCCCCGTCTTGGGCGCCGCCTTGGGGCGTTCTTGGGCGGTTTGGGCGCCTCGGGGGCCGTCTTGGCCCCCTCGTAGGCCGTCTTGGAGCCCTCCTGGGGGCATCCTCGACCGGCTTGGGTGCCTCTTGGGCCGTCTTGGACGCAAGCCCAAAAGGCGAACACTCCCAAAACATCAGTTTTCCTATAAGAAGTCGACAATGTTTGCTTATTGGGGCTCTCTCGGGGTGCCTCTTGAGGCGTCTTCGGGGCCTTCGGGGGCCTTCTTGGCGTCATGGGAGTCGTCTTGAAACGCATCCGGAGCCATCGGAGCGCGTTTTCGAGCGTTCCGAAGCTATCTTCGGGCGATCTTGGACAGCCCCCGGCGCTCTGGCAAGGCTCCTGGCGCGCTGGGCCCCACATTTTGTCGTGGTCCGGGCCCCAGGCCCCAGGACCCGGTCCCCCGTTATATGTCAGTATGTCTGCGAAAATGTATGCATGTTTATGTTAATGTGCATGTATTTGGACACGGGTATGTGTGTGTGTGTCTGTGTTTAGGTGTTATGCATTTGTGGGCGCATCTACATGTATGAGGCTTATACGTGTATATATATAGTATACACATACATACATACATGTGCACGCATACCTGGACATGCTTACGTATGTGCATGTGCATGCACATCTGTATAATCCGCCGATCCGGCGTGTGAGTTTCTGAGAGCGTGGGCTTGAGCTCGCTCAAGCTTCGCTCTGGGGGGGGGTCGGGATCCGGCGAATTATCCACGCAATTCACTGAACGCTCCAGCGCGGGGGGGGGGTCCAAGAATCGAGGGGGGGGGGGGGGAGCTCGAGCGAGGACGGGGGGGGAGGGGGGGGGGGGGTCGAGCTCAAGCGGGGGGGGGTCAAGGAGGAAGCTCAAGAATCGGGGAGGGGGGGGGTCGAGCTCAAGCGGGGGGGGGGGGGTCAGAAACGGGGAGGGCAGCGGGGGGGGGTCCAAGAATCGAGGGGGGGGGGGAGCTCGAGCGAGGACGGGGGGGGGGTCGAGCTCAAGCGGGGGGGGGGGGTCCAAGGAGGAAGCTCGAGCGGGGACGGGGAGGTGGGTCGAGCTCAAGCGGGGGGGGTCCAAGAAAACCGGGAGGGCAGCGGGGGGGGGGGTCCAAGAATCGAGGGGGGGGGGGAGCTCGAGCGAGGACGGGGGAAGGGTCGAGCTCAAGCGGGGAGGGGGGGTCCAAGGAGAAGCTCGAGCGGTCGAGCTCAAGGGGGGGGGTCCAAGACCAAGAAACCGGAAAGGGCAGCGGGGGGGGGGGATCCAAGAATCGAGGGGGGGGGGCTCGAGCGAGGACGGGGGGGGGTCGAGCTCAAGCGGGGGGGGGGGGTCCAAGGGGGGGGTCCAAGGAGGAAGCTCGAGCGGGGACGGGGGAGGGGGGTCGAGCTCAAGCGGGGGGGGGGGTCCCGCCATTCGCCATCAGTCCTCAATCGTCACCCGTCAGTCGTCCTTCGTCGGTCGTCCGTCGTCCTCGTCGTCGGTCGTCGTCGTCGTCGTCGGTCGTCGTCGTCGTCGTTGTCGTCGTCATCGACGTCGTCGTCGTCGTCGTCGTCGTCGTCGTCGTCGTCGTCGTCGTCGTCCTCGTTGTCCTCGTCGTCGTCGTCGTCGTCGTCGTCGTCGTCGTCGTCGTCGTCGTCGTTGTCCTCGTCGTCGTCATCGTCGTCGTCGGTGGTCGTCGTCATCATCGTCCGTCGTTGACCCGGTCGTCGGTCGTCGTCGTCGTCATCGTCCGTTCCCACACGCATCGGGAGCGCCCCAGATCGGCGGCACTGGCCCCAGGCCATTACAATATGTATATAGCGAACCTGATGTCATATAGAATTTGCAAGAGAGAGAGAGAGAGAGAGAGAGAGAGAGAGAGAAAGAGAGAGGGAGAGAGAGAGAGAGAGAGAGAGAAAGAGAGAGCGAGAGACGTACAGAGAAATATGTACTTACACATCGGAAATAATTCACCTATCTGGTGAACGGTGCTCTAAGCCGCTTGCGACGCAAGCTCCTGTCGGATAGACATCAGCTCGGGACAAGGAGATACAAACATGTGAAGCGTTACACTGAAACTCAACACGATGGGACATGGATAACATTGGCATTGACCTCCGCGCGGATCACCAAACCAACACACATCCCCCGTGAGTCCTCCCCGGCGAGACCCGTGTTCCTCCCCCTATCCCCCCTACTCCGCCCACCTTGCACGGCGCAGTAGCAGGATACACGCGTCAGCGCGGCTGGATAAACGACCCACGGGTCCGTACTGAGCACTTTCGGCGAATACTCCTGGTAGGCCTCCCCCCTCAATATCGGCTCGAACGTCGCATTCAAGTCGCCGGGTTTCCGCACGCCAGCTGGGCCGCCCTTGTACCGCAGGCAGTTCTTTCGTCTCCTCTCCACCTCCTCGTCATCCCCTTCCCGCTCCCACCCTCCCTCATCCCATCTCCATCGTCGTGTCTTTGTCGTCCTTCTCTGCGTCCTCCTCCCCCTCCTCCCCCCCTCATCCTTCTCTAAGCCTTCATCCTCACTTACCCCTGCACCTCCTCTTTCTATTTTTTTTATCCTCTCTCTCTCTCTCAACCTCTTCCCACCTCCGCTTCCCTTCCTCCTCCTCCTCCTCCTTCCTTTTTTCCTTCCTTCTTCTTCTTCTTCCTCCTCCTCCTCCTCCCCCCTCCTCCTTCATTTCTCTTCCTTCCTCCTGCCCCCTCCTCCTCCGTCGGCCGCGTCCTCTCCACCTCGTCGGGGTCAGGCCCAGGCTGCGCCAGGCAGGCGAGAGGCCATGCCAGCAGCGCCCACCGGAAAAAGAGCGGCATCGTCGCCGCCCGCGGGGCCGCAGCGCAACCGGGGCGCCCCCGACATCCACGCCCTGTTCGCTCGGCGGAGGAGGAGCAGGATAGAGGAGGTGGAGGAAGAGAGAGGTGGGGGAGGAGGAGGAGGAGGAGGAGGAGGAGGAGGAGGAGGAGGAGGAGGAGGAGAGGAGGAGGAGGAGGAGGAGGCAGGAGCAGGAGGAGGAGGAGGAGGAGGAGGAGGAGGAGGAGGAAGGAGGAGGAGGAGGAGGAGGGGAGGAGCAGGAGCAGGAGCAGAGCAGGAGGAGGATATATTATCGAGGTGGACCTAGAGGAGGATGGGAGGAGGAGGAGGAGGGGGAGGAGGAGGAGAGAGGAGGAGGAGGAGGGAGGAGGAGGAAGGAGGAGGAGGGAGAGAGAGGGAGGACGGAGAGAGGAGAGGAGGAGGAGAGAGGAGGGGGGAAGAAAGGAGGAGGAGGAGGAGGAGGCGGCGCGGAGGAGGAGGAGGAGGAGGGAGGAGGAGGGGGAGGAGGAGGAGGGGGGGGAGGAGGGGGGGGAGGAGGAGGATAGGAGGAGGAGGAGGAGGAGGAGGAGAGGAGGAGGAGGAGGAGGAGGAGGAGGAGGAGGAGGAGGAGGAGGAGGAGGAGGAGGAATAGTAGGAGGAGGAGGAGGAGGAGAAGGAGGAGGAGGAGCAGGAGGAGGAGGAGGAGGGGGAGGAGGAAGAGGAGGAGGAGGAGGAGGGGGAGGAGGAAACTCACTCCCGTCCCCAACTCCACCCTACATCCCCCGCATTCATCATCCCTCCCTCTAATCGGCACCTCGGCGACTACGTAAATGGGCGGCGCGGGACCCGCGCCGCGGGAGCTGCCTTGTTCTGCTCATCGATGTACGCCTTCGCTATGAACTCCGTGGCCTGCCTGCTGCGCGCGTGCATCTGCAACCGGCGCTCCGGCGCAGTGGGGGGGTGGAGCTCCGGCAGCGGCTGCCCCCTCCGTCGAGCGCGTCGCCAGGTGGATCGTGTTGCGAATCTCGGCCACTCCGAGTGGCGGTGACCTGACTGCTGCTGCAGCCGCGGCCGTGGCTGCTCACTCCTTCGGCCTGTTGGGCTCCCGCTCGATCGCGGCGCTGAACGGGGCGTGTGGGGCCAGTGGGTTTCCAGCGCGCCGTGGGCTGTCCAGCGCGCCCGCCGGCCCTCCTCCGCGCGCACCTCCTTCGCCCTCGTGCGGCGGAGCAGATCTGCTGAGTCCTCGCAGTCGATCGCTCCCTTGCTCTGGCTCAGGGGCCGCTTGTTCTCCTTGATGGCAGGCGTGAGGTTCTCCACCTTCCCGGGCGCCATGACGAAGTCCGCTGTCGCGTGCGCGCGCGGGCTGCCCGTGTCCTTCTCGCCCGCCTGGCTCCTCGCCGCGCACTTGCCCCCTGTCCGAGAGCTTGCCTGCACCGCGCCCCTCCGTCAGGTAGAAGTCCAACCGGCTGCCTGAGACCGCTCGAATCGTCTCCGCGTTGTCGAGGGTGAGATTCTCCACAGTGAGTATCTCCTCGCCGATCGCTTCGAAAGCATCTGATGTGCCAGCTGCTTTGTCCGGCTCGCCGCCCGCTTGTTTGCCCCCCCCCCCCCCCCCCCCCCCCCCTCCCCTCCTTTTGCCTCCCGCCGACAAAGAGGCCTGCCTCGCCCGTCTGGCTCCTCGGGCGCCGTCCCCCCCCTTCCATCGCCGCTCGCCGCGACGTCGGGCCCTCCGACGCGGAGGGCAAACGCGGTCGAGGTACCCGTGCGATTGAGTATGCTCGGCCGCGCAGTGGATGCGCGTATATGCAGAAGCCTCTTTGGGCCGAAATGAGAAGGACGTGGGGCGAGTGGGGCATGTGCGCGGCGCCCGTCGACCCATCGTAATGCACCTGCGTGGGCATGATGCCCGGGAAGCGAAAGCTGCGCGACACCACGAGCACGCGTACATGATGCCAAACATAGGATGCATCTTCCTCATGCGATGTGCATGGGTGGCGTATGCTGCGGGTGCTTCTAAAGTCTGGAATGCGCTCCCACATAGCGTATCCACTCGTCAATTGCTGCGCTGTGCTCGCACGCTGTGTCCTGGTGCACGTGGTTCTCGGTGCGCGTGTCCTCGTCCGCCCCCCACCTCCGTGGCAAGTTCCACCAGTGCATTCGCGCGCGCCAGTAGCCCTGTCCCCCTTTCTGCCCAAATCGCAAATATGTGCCAGCATCTTACACTCGGATAGTATTACGGAGATGTCTGCGATCGTAAAAACCCGGAGGGCATTGTCTCGGCCCTGCCAGATGCGCCCGAGGTCGCCGTCGACGCGGGCAAGCGCCAGCCAGTTCGCAAGAAACTGTTTCGCTCGCGGGGTGCTGCGTTGATTCAAATGGCCGCCTGGCTTGAGGTGAGCGCGGCCGAGCTGCCTCTCGCGCTCAGTCGCGCCGATGCTGGCCATGGAGAGCTGCTTTTGAATCTCGGGTCGCCTCTCTGCTGCCTGCCTCCACCTTGAACGTTGCGCGTTCAACTCAGTGGCGGCGTCGCTGATGTCCCAGGACCCAGTGATCGAGTGCTTGTTGATTACTGACTGTGCGAATTCGCTGTCCATAATGCTGGTTTGCTGTGCCGTGCGCGACGTCTGAGCGTCGACATAGTCGCGACCAGCGCGCTCTGAACCCGGCCAGCAAAACGAACGCGGTCAACCTCGCGAGGGGCGCGCGGTGCACGAAATTCAATAATAAGGTGCGGAGGTTCTTATGAAACAGAGGTTGGTGCCATGCCTTACCGGGTGACCGCCGCGCTGCTCGGGCCCCTTCGGATGCGATTTAAAAGCCCCGTCCGAAGTTCCCCGTCAAGTCTGCGGATGGGCCTCAGAATCCTGCTTTTCGGAATACTTCGCCTTGCAGAAAACGGTTCCAGGAGAGCTCCTTGTTGGTCGGCGTTCAGATAATGCCGGGTCCCATTAAGGTGCTCCTGTAGTGGGGTGATCGAGTTGGCGTGCGATGTACCGGCCGTGGATTTCGTATGTGTGAATGTGTATATGTGAAACATCGTAAACATCATCTACGCGTAACCCTATGCCAACGTCCACATCTCCCGAGCCCCCAATTACCGATTGGCCTCTCAACCGTGTGTAGCTTGCGCCCTGGCTAGCAAGATCGCCGTTCGCCTAAGTGGACAGCTAAGTGGACAGACGGCGAGTGCACATCTACGACCCCCCACGCTGCGAGTGATCGCCACATCGATCGAGGAGCGCCGTGTTTTCAGGTCGCCTGTGTTGTGCACGATGAGCTCGAAGCGTGTCCCGATTCGCGCGGGCGAAGGCGTCCGTGCCGTCGAAGTCCGAGAGAATATGACTAATCAGCCCGTCCCCACATCGCCTCGCCGCCGCCAACAAAGAAATGACACAATCCTGTCTTCTACATCCACTCCTAGCCCGCCGCGAAGAAGCTCTAGAGGTTCGCGTCGACGCGATACCTTTAGCAACTGCCCGACACAAGACACTTTAAAGCATCATCGCAATGCAACGCTC